TGGTACCCAGTTCTTATCAATATATATGGAGACAATATACATCAATACACACTGGAGACACTATACATCAACATATACAGTGGAGGTGATATACATCAACATACACACAGGCACTCACATTTATTGCTGAGCTTTTTATAGCACCTATGCATAGTTTTAACTGCTGATCACAGTTTATTCATTCTCAATTCTAATTCCAATTTCTTGTTTTTCAACAAGAGGAGGGGAATTGCCAGTTTGGGTGGTTCTACCGTTCTGTTACAATGGTCATTATGATTAAGGGTTGAACAAATTGTTTCATTGTCTTTGAAATATTGCCTATATGACACGTATATGTGATTTATAAATGTAGTGTGGAATAAATTAAGCTCTAATTTTCTTTCAACTCCTTTTTTTTTTGGAAAGTAAAATAAGAACCAATTGATGAACATGAACATGAACATCCATTCCTGGACCCAGTACAATCTCAAAGATAGATGATGTGTAGATGCAAGGATGGGCCTACCGAAGCACAATGCAAGTCTGTATTTTTAACTAACCACTTCGCACATAGATTGGTATTGCCTTTCTGACACATGTGGCAGTATTGGAGGTCAGTAATACAGACCTGTCAGCCTTCTAATCCATTTCAGAGCTGATTAGGTAAAGCCCTTCAGAATGAATTCCAACACTTTTAAAACCAGAGGAAGATTTTCTTGCAGTTTCAAGTGAGAAAACAATTTCACCTCTGTGTCATAAATTCCTGACTTACTAGATATACAAAATAGTGGGGAAAAGAAAAAAGGGGGAAATATTTCAAAGGAAATAGGATTCCTAAGTTACTTGTGAAACTGGAACTAGTTTCCAAGTCAGATTTCTTAAGGCATTTATATGCTCAGCTCCCATAGATGTTATTGGGACCAAACAATTTTACAACCTGGAAAAGTAGCAAGGTAAGACCCTAGAGAATTGTTGTGGGAGTTCAGCCTCAGCACACAGAGCAGTAGGACATGAGGCTTCCTTGGCTGCTCAGCTCTTAAAAGGGCTCATAGAAACTGAAGCCGTTTTTTGTACATCTTCTGCAGTTGTCTCTGGCTTCAGCAGCATTGCATGGGACATATACATGAAGAATTTCATCCTAATGATTAACCATGCTGGTCTCAGGTTACTTCACTTGCCTCTACAGTAACTATATTGCATGTAATCAAAAGGCGCAGGCTTTGGGACTTTCCTGTATTTCCCAAAGCAAAGGGTTCAAAGTCAGTAAACATTACAAAAGGGGACATCAGAGTCACAAAATTTAAAAAATATCTCCACCAGAAGAGCGCGTAACTTCAGCTGCTTTTCTTTAAAAAAAGAAGGCAGCTTGCTTTCATCACAGAGGTTTAAGATCTTCTTGGTGAAGATCTACATTTTCAGTCAGAGCCTGACCTCATTATAGCTATTGCGTAATTTAACATATAAATCAGAGTATAAAGAGTGTCAGTTCCCAAATATTTGCCTAAATAACTGCTGGTCTTTTCTGCTCCTTCTTCTCGTCCCAGTACATGCAAGGGTATTGCTGCAATGTTCATTTTTATTCTCACTGCACTTTGGTGAGCACAAATAACAACAGACAAGTATGCCAGCTGCCAAAAGGGGGAACGGTGGCAACCAGACACCTCAGAGCATCAAGACAGGCGTGTAGCTTCCTCCCGTCTTGGGTCACACTGCCTCGCAGAGAGCAGGGGGACAAGATTTGCAAGCATGGGGGGGCAGGAGAGCAGTAGCCACAGGGCCCTCAGCAAAAAGCAGGCACGCAGACCCCATCGCTTACCTGGAAAGGGTCACCATTCATTTTGCAGTGCTGTGCGTCCATATTGCAGAGGCAGCGATGCCCACACAGGGAGGCCCCTTTGCTGCTGCAAGTGAAGCCTTCTGACCTTACAACAGTGGCCAGAGCCCTGTGCAAAGGTATTTAAAGTGGAGTAAGTGAGGCAAAGCCATCCCCTTCCCCCCCTTCCCCAGCTCCCTCC